TTCAATACTGTCATGCCAAATGTTGTTTGTCAAAATTTCTTATCGAAAAATTGTACCTATAGCATGATTGGAGAACAATTTAGAGAGAAAACCCTAGATGAAGAACAAGAGAAAACTGAACTGACACACACAGAGAGGACTGCATGAAAAATAGGATTTATCCCTATTTACATGGGGCTCAAATAACCACAGATCCAACCATAAATCAGTCACATGTAAAGATCAACTCACCAACTTAAAAGAATAAAAATCTCATTTCTCTCGAACACGTTTTTAACATATTGTTGTTTCTGGAGTTTGAAGTTACTCCTTCGAAAACAATTCGACAGAATCACCTGAATGTAATAATTGATCAACAGGATCCAAAGTTGTAATTCGAGCCCACCGATTTCACGATATTTCCTTAAAACGAATTTGCTGCCTTCAACGGTGTTAAAGGCGTCAAGCAATCGTTTCCCAGGATAAAGCGAATTTTCGTCTCCTACGGAAGCAGCACTGCAATCTGCAGGAGCTCCAACGAACTCAACGAAGGGTGTTTTATTTCGAGACAATATCAGAACGAGAGAGAGGGGGAAATGAGATTCAAAGCACAGAAAGTTTGCAATGAAAATGGTGTGAATTTTCTGGTAGAAAGGCTGACTATTTATAGACTTGTTCGTGGCCATTCGAACAGTCATCACCTTTCAGACAAGCCTCAAAAATCCGAACAGACATGCTGTTCTTAAAAGTCGTGTCTATTAAGTCGGTTAACAGTCGGCTAACAGTCGACTATTTGGTCGGTAAACAGTCGACTGTTAAAAGAAAATAAAACACCCGAAATAAGCAAAAATTTAAATTTCATATTGTACCCAAGAATTTGATTATTTACAATTTGGCCCCAAAACTTAAATAAATTTTGCCTAAAAAGTTAATATAGTGTAAAGGTCCACCCGCACTCGCACCGAACCGGACCAGACTCGTGCTCGTGCCGTGCCAAGGCGACCCGACCGGCAGCGCGCGAGTGTGGGTTTATGACCGAACCCAATGGGATATAGGTCTTCCCCCTTCCAAAGACTATTGGTACCCCTTGGGGCCCAAATCCAATTCCAAACTTCCACCTTATAAACCATACCAAAGTTTCCTAACTTTCCTATGTGGAATAAGTGTTTGGAAAATCAAATTCTTCCATAATCCTTAGTTTATGTGGGTTATTTTAACACCTAATATTTCATTCAATTTTAAATGATTTTCGATAAATAAATATATCACGTTAATCATCTCGCGGAGTAGAACGTGAATATGCTAGGTCCCATATTAATTAAAAAGTGAGTCCCACTGAAATTTGGGCTCAAATTTGACCCATTAACCATTTTTTCCAACACATATTAGTCAAAAGGTCAACTTTAGTGAGTCAATCAAGGTCGATCGACCAGAAGACCTTATGTTTTCTCCCGATCATTTCTTCATTCTCAAGTATGGTATATTGAGATTCTACATGCACAAGTTAAATTCCTCTTTAAGTTTCCCAAACAGTTCATTAGTTTGTACTAAGCGTATAGAGGGAAATTCGAGTCTTTCATTGGCTAAGAAATCCACTGCAGAATTACCTCCGCAAAATATGCGGACGACTGCATATTCATCTTTGTCGCTAATGACTTGATATCCCCAACAACATACTAACATGGGTTTTTTCAATTAAGATTTCAATGAATTCTAAAAGATTATAAATTTTAGTGAATTTCGTGGATTTGAATAGATTCTTTCAAATTTCATAAGAATCTCATCAAATATGGTGAAATTTCAAAAAATTTGGTTATATGTAATTTTAAGCTTGAAATTCATCCAAATCTTTTAAAATCCTTCAATTAATGAAATCTTTATAAATTCACTAGATATTGAGGACACCTAAATTTTAAAGGATTTCATTAAAATCTCAAGTGTAGACATCTAAAATTTTATGGATTTCATTAAAATCCATTAAATCTCAATTAAAGACATCTAAATTTAGAATATTTTAAAATCCATCACAATCTCAATTAAGGACATCCCACTAAATCTCCTAAGTTCTTGAATTTGTTGACATTACCGTGATGACTTCTGTAGAATCCAATTCCACTCAGAGTTTATTAAATTCAAGTGTTTCGCATAATTTAAACCTGTTAGTAGAACATTTAATTTTACGAATGACTTTGTACGTACTTTGTTCACATGGCTCACAAAAAATGAAAAAAATGAGATTATTTAACAAGGGTAACTTGAGCATCATGCACTACACCACGACTTTCACATAAACGCGAGTTATGCTTGCTACGCTTGTCCGTGTTTAACTTGATCTCATCACCTTTATAGGCCTCAGCCATCTAACAAGGGTGGGGCATATTTTTATTTATTTATTTATCCCTTATGACACAAATTGATTTTCGTAATACATTGATGTTAAAAAAAATTGGTAAATTAGAATAATTTTAGTCACACTCAGGTTCAAATAGACGGGATTACGGGATTTAACTAGTCAACCAAGTAGGTCCCTAAGGTGGAAATGAACTTGATATGAATTACTAGTCAATAATACAGACGTCAATGGTAATAATCAAACTCAAGACATATATCTTTGGACTTGGAAAGGACTTTTATTATTATTATTATTATTATTATTATTATAAAATTTAAATGAATATTGCTAAATATAATTTATATTCAAATAATGAAAATTTGAGTTTTGAGTACTCGTATTGAAATATGATTTGAATATCATTTGACTGAACTAAGGGCCCGTTTGGTAGGGATTTTGAGAATTGATTTTTTGACCGTTAAAAGAAAAGTGAGGTCCACATGTGAGAGAAGAAGTCAAAAATTACGGCTTGAATAGTAAAATAACGGTCAAAAAATCAATTTTTTGGGGCAAAAAATCCCTACCAAACGGGGCCTAAATAGTTTTAAACATTAAATGTTTTAATATTAAATGAACTATTTAAGCAATGGTCATTAAATTGAATTGATATGCATTTATAAGAAACTTATATATACTGCAATAACTAGAAAATATAATTTCATTGGTTATATTAAGATGGAAAATAGTATTTTCATTGTTAAGTTACCTAGGGAAAAAAATCATAATCTCATAAATATTTGAAATTAAACTCCATTAATAAATTATTCATATGAAACAACTTGTAAATTAATCCAACAAAAATATGTCAAAAATACTTCTACTTATAAGTAAAATAAATAAACGTTTACAAGTAAAAATTAGATAAAAGGAAACCTTCAAGCCCAATTTTGCTATAGATTTATTTATTACTGATTCACAATTAGATTCCAAAGTGTAATAATGAGACGTTTATTTCTCACGACAAGTCTCAAAATTTCTCGAAAATTATCCGAAAAATAATATTCCAAAACTTTCATGAAAGACAAACAATAAGTCCAAATAAGCAAATGCTACAATGTAGACTATGGAAGTCATTGGAACTTACGAGCTAAGAACAAAGTTTTCCCAAGAAATATATATATTTGGAAAAGGATACACGTCCTGGGCCATGACGTCCAGAACACTCCTATATATTTTATGATTTTGATGTGACAGTCCATAATTGAGTGTTTTTATAATTTTTTTTTATTTTTCAATGAAAAACTATTAAGTATAGTCTGAAAATATTTTTCTATCTTGACTATGACTATATAGCATGATTGATACGTTTTTATTTTTTTACTTTGATCTCCCACTCTCCATTTTGATAAGATTGAGGTGCCATCTCCATCACAACGTTACATCGGACCTTGATCCAATCACTCACAAGCCTAAATTATCCAATTTAAATATATAAAAATAACATATCAATCAATCTCGGAGTCATAACCGTCCATTCTCACCTTATCAAGAATATATAAAATTGTTATGTATTTTGAATTTATTTATTTCGGATAATTTTTAAAATACTATTGAATTTGTTATTTTAATCAACATAGCTGATGCATGAACAGTTTTTAATAAGGGATAATTTTATTTATTTCAAATTAATTTCTATCACACACTCTTTAGAATTATTTGAATTCATTTTAATTAAATAATTCATGCACATTAAGAGCATATTTTTGCCCCATTTTTCGGAAAATATTCATTTTGAAATAGTAGGTTGATGGAGAATGTGTGATTAAAAAAAAAAAGGAGAAGTATTAGATTTATGTGTAATATTATTTTATTGAAAAATGTGTGATTGATAAAAAAAGAAAAAAATGAATTTTAAAAATGATTTAAACATGCTTTAGAAGAATCGAATAATGATGGTGGTTCCACTAACCATTACCATTTTCCAACTATGATAAATAGCTTTACTCTAAACATCACTAATTACTATCATTATTCAAAATATAAAACGGGGCTTAAAATCCTTGTTTGAGTCTCGTTCTTTGAAAAAATACATTTTAAGTAGTATTTTGACATTAGTTTAATCGCACATTTTTCAATAAAATAATATTATATGTAAATATAACGTATTTTTTTAATTTTTTAATCACAAATTTTCCATCAATACACTATTCAAAAATTTATTTTTATAAAAAGAATGAGATTCAAACAAGGGCTAAAACGGTTTGAAAAAAAAAATGAGATTTTTAGTAAATTTTTATAAAAGTTGATGAAAATATGATAAAAAAATTGATAAAAAATTATAGTCTCAAAAAATAGGATTAAACCAGATGTACAACACTTGCTGTACATCATGGTTCACAGCCCCCTCACAATGAGGGAGTCCCACCTCGATTTTTTTTTTAACGTGTGCGAGCCCCCTCTAATGTGAGGGAGCTATCGACCGTGCTATGTGCCGAGCACGGTCCCAAAAAATATCGTAAAAAGTAAGCTTAGAAAAAATATTGTTAAAAAATAATTTCAAGAAATGGTTCAGATAAGGAAATAATAAAAAAGTTGAAAAATAATGAATTCACTTTTATTTCAACACGTTCATTCCACCAGGACATTTCTGTATATAGTATATTATTACGCCCGGGTACAAAGACAAACGAGCAATATAATAACTCACCTGTCACCTGACATGACCGCTCATTTCGGACTGTTGCAAACGTGGCTTCTGTAAGCACCGAGTGGCGTTTAGCTTCCGAATTGCATCCGTAGAAGCACAAACAGATATTCACAAAAAGCGTAAAATTCAAGGGCGATTAGTCTGAGCAGTTTTTCTATCTGGGTTGTGCTTAAATTTGTTTGTGAAGGAAGAAAAAGAGCAGAAAAATGGCTACGGATATGGTGGTGGTTCAACAAGCAGCGGTGAACGGTGGTTGCTGCAAAAAGGGGCCAGGATATGCTACTCCGCTTGAAGCCATGGCTGGCCCAAGGGAATCTCTTATTTATGTCACCTGTGTTTATAAAGGTAATTTAATTGGGTTTTTGCTTTAGCTATTTGTGTATATTTTAAAATGCATTCTGGATCGATAATTTGCACAATTTTTTAGAAAGAAAATCTTAAAAAAATGCACTAAAAGAACGCAGAAGTCTTCCAATATGGGCTATGGCTGTCATTTGCTGCACAATTGTCAACTTTCTTGCCCATCTTGTAATGTAATTTGGCTTCTTATGAGCAATTTTAATGAACACAGAGTACAAAGAAACTAGGAAAAAACGTGTAAATTGAAATCTGGAATGGAATGAATAGTTTTGGATATATGTTTTTGTCAAAAATATTGACATAATAGAAGTATCAAACCACTTTTGGCTAACTAAAGATTCAAATATCTTAAAACTTGTGTAAAAATATGGATAATAGTTAAAAACTATCAGTTGACGTCTGAAAGAGGTATAAGCACTTGTAATTTACTTAATCAACATTGTTTTTAATACCACTAGTTTCGCCAATCGCTTCCCTATTTTATTTTCTAAAACTTGTGTGTCACTTTTATCTGATGTTCTCAAACCCAAGTTTTCGCATAGCGAAAACAACAGAATCAAGCATCTGATCAAGAAGATTTGTGTAAACCAATCCACTTCCAGTATCGTTGTACGTCTGGTTTGAATCCTTAAACAACGCGAAATCGAGGCTGATGTTTGTCAGATTTGACTTACTCTAAAGTCATTCACAGGCTACCTATGCCTTACATTGGCGATGAACTACATCATTCGGGATGGAATTCCTGCAGCTCCTGCCATAGTGATCCATCAGCTTCCCGGCGATTCCTTGTCCTACCTTCACTTGTGTAAGAGATCAAATCTTTAAGCCATATTTGAAATTTTTTCTTGGATATGTTCTAAAGACTAAGAGCTCATCTGCCAAGCTTAAATATGAATAGAAATTAATTCTTTTTGTTTCAAAACATATTTGGATAAGTTCTTTTTTTCTTTCTTATGAAAATAAAAAAAAGTGTACTTACTCACTTAAAAGTAAGCTTTTTAAGCTTGGCCAAACATGCTTTTAGTACAGTAAAACGCTCAAGACTTTTTCATGCTTTCTCTGAATAAGTTTTTGTCAATTCGCTCCTTTAATAATTTGTATCGTAAAAATTTGTAATAATGATGTCTCTTACACTTACATTCTAAGTATAGATTTAGTGCTCAAATTGCACCTAAGATAACGACATAATAAGATGGATTCTTCGTAGTTAACCATGGTATTCCAGTTTAGATAATGATGTACTGAGAAGTATTGTTATTAAATTTCCGTTTGATATTTTCTATAAATGATATTATTAACAACCAATTAACAAAAAGTTTATTATAATATGGCCGCAGTTGCACATTAGTTTGTGTGTTGATTCTATATAATCATGGAGTGTGCATGATTGCTTTCTGCTTCAATTGCTGTAGAAATTTATAACTTCTTGACTTAAAAATGAGGATTTTTCCAGACAAAAGGATAATAAGATAATCTCTGGATTCTGAGTATAATGCAGCAATGGGATCATAACCTTGTCTGAAATTTCATCCTTAAATTTCCCACTTGAAGGTGGGAAAATTGATTCAACTACATCTATTGCCAAGGGGGTCCCGACTTTGATGTTATGAATGTTATGCAAAACTAAGGATTTCTTGATTTTCTGCATAGCTGGTACGAGATCAGCCCACATTTTCTGACCATCATAACTAAGAACTTCATTCCCGACAAGAATGGATCGGATTTTGGTGTTGGGATAATATGCAAGAACATTATCTTGCACCCATTGATCAGCTATTGTTAGGTTTGAAGCAATATCAGAAATTTGGTCATTTGTTACCATTATTGAAACATGAAGCCTCGTGCCTGATAGAAGTTTTAGAACTTCAGGGCTGGCATCATAGATCTTCACTCTACCGGCGTCCATGGATTTCAAGAATTCGATTGTTTGATAAGGAGACGGCAAATTATTTCCCAGTCGACCATAATTTATGCCGATGTTGCTTAAAACCAGTGCATCTATAAACAGAAATAATGAACCAATGTGAGAATATGTATGACAGAAAAAATTACAAATTCCCTGTTTAAAGGCTACAAATAACCATGAAATGAGAGATTCTATATTAATTATGCAATTACAGAAAGCTGTGACAATATTGAAAAGTTGAAATTTAGCAGCATTTAACTTCTTGTACTTTGTAAGGCAACTTACTTGAGAAAGCAAAGATACAGAACAAAGAGAATACAAAAACTTCCCTCCTTAGGTACATCTTTTTGTTCAAGGAAATGGAGAAACTATCAGATTGACTGTGAAGAGTCTGAAGAATGGAAGGTGTATATGTAGTGAAAGAATTGAAGAAACTGTTGAACTACAAAATTTTTGAGTTGTAATCAAGAACATTTCAATGATATTTGTGAATTTGAATATAAAAAAAGTGGGATTTTGTAATTTTTGTGAGATGTAGCAAGAGAATGACCGAAGAAAGAATATTCAAAGGGAAAGTGAGATAAAGATGGAAATGCTGAAGGAAATGGATTTCTTCTTCTGGATTCTGATTTTAATGTGAAAGGAAGGTAATAATTTGCAAGATCTGCTTCTGTGAAAAGAACACCACAACATCCAGTTTTGATCTATAAAATTAACTAAAGAATCTTGATAATGGTCCACGTTTAACATTTACTTCCAAAAAACATTAATAATGATCCCCAAGCCAATATTATGTGTAAATTGATGTTATTTCTTACTGGAATTTTGTTCTATGCCCGAGCTTGTCTCGACAATCTGATTCTTGTATTTACTCGAAATTAGTGTCAACCATGCTTAGATTCAAGAGTATAGATTTCAAGACAGACTTATATTGCTACTATAAGGATGTAACCTATCCAAATTTCTTGAACATATCATACTTGCGTGTTTCTTTTTACAGGTGGGAGAAACCTGGACATAGTCCCCTTTTTGGCTATGATTTCTGGTATCAACCTCGACACAAGACCATGATCAGCACTTCGTGGGGAGCACCTGCTGCTTTCACCAAAGGGCTTGTCAATGTTGTGATCCAAAAAATGTGAAAAATGTCGATTAGTGATCGAAGCCTTACTAGTCGCACGTCATTTCAAGTCAGAGAAGTCAGACGTTTTAGTTGACCAACTCGATGAATTAGGAGTTTGGAGTGGCTCTATTATATGTGTCCTCCTTTCAGTTTCATGTCTTCTTACTTTGTTTTCGTATGCATAATGTATCTCTAAAAATTCAAAGATTATACTCATCGAAACGCAGTTTTATAATACAACTCTAGCTTCTTAATTACTCAAAACAGTTCTTATTCTCCAAAGCTGGTTGATCATCCATATGCCCTTGAATCATGGAGAGGACAATTTTGAATTAACTGGATGATGATTGGGTTGCTCCAGCAATCTGATCCATGAAAACCCTAAGACTCACATTGGAAGAACCACCTTCTATAACTGCTTCCTTAGCCAGATTTTTCCATTTCTTAGCTTGCTTTCTCATGTCTTCTGCTTGGATGTTTTCATGCAACTGCATGTATAATTCCTTTTGGGGAATATTTTTCCGTTAATGTGCATCTAAATAACTTGCAGATAAGATTTCTGCACGATCCATCCAGGGATACAGGATTTGTGGGATGTGCCTTAACAAGCAACATGATAAGGTTTTTCAAGAACCCAGATGGGTCATGGAGCCACGAGGTATACAGAAGAATTGCCTAACAGTTTAGATCACATACGAGTAAAAAGCACTAGAGGCCACCGATCTTTATTCTTTTCCAACTTTTGTCACTGAACTCATATTTTGTTCCAATTAGGTCAGTGAACTAAAATATGGTCATTCGTTTCAGGCTTGTTAGTTCTACTAGTGGAAAAACTGATGTGGCGGCCTAAGTAGCAAATAACTAGACTGTCAAGTCACCCTTCTGTTAGTCAAACTAACTGATATAGACTGACTGCGCAACGTAAAAAAATGTGCAAGTTGATAGTTTAATGATGCACATGAAATTTCACTAAAAGTTTAGTGTCCACCTATGTATTTAACCCGATTGCCTAATTAACAACATAAATGATCAATCTGATTTGACTGCAGCTATCAATATCAGTGAAGCCACTCAAGGTGCAAAATTGGATTCTTCCCGAGATGCCCGAAAGATACATAAATAACAGATAATTCGTCTTTCAAATTCAACCAATTCATGTAATCTACTGTCTTCTCTATCAGATCACCTCCGAATGAGGTGTCCAAAGGATCCTTCCCATCCAAGAATGCAGAAGGAATCAAAGGTCCAATGCCCATCAAATCGTACTTCGTTATAGCCCTTAAGGTTTCGAATTCCAAAGCATCAAATGTGTTCACAAGTACTTTCTGCTTGTCCCCAGCTCTATCAAGAATCTCCAAATGCTCTATTAAAAGAGGAAGAGAAAAATTGTACACAACAGGGCTTGAAGACTGCATAAAGGATGGCAAATCACAAGAACTAAATGACTGGCCAAGTATGGGTTGGAGGATTAGTTCGGAAAGGAAGCACCGTGGTTGTTGAGGCAGATGATGGTTCGACGTACCAGGGTGATGTCCCAGATGTGAAGGTATTTTTCTATGTTCCTTCTCAAACCAAATATGGAGGGTTTTATCCTGATGCTCTCTGTATGAAACCTTACAAGCAAACACTATTATCATTTCTGTTGTAAAAAATATTCGGTGTTATTGGACAACACTCGGCAATAGTAAAGAAAAAGAAAATCTTGTTTATTGTATTTGCTTAGTACGGTCTATTACTACCACCCTTCAGTACCGCAAGTTCTGAAAGATATAAAGAATTCTTCGACATTGTCCGCAGTTGTCCAGCCATTGTCGTAACCATCAGAAAAGGGAGCCAAAGTCAGGCCTGGTATTATCGAGGCAGTTTTGGACATGCGACGGATTGAAGATAGACTAGTGCAGAAGGTGACCTTTGCTCCCATTTGCAGAAGGCGCTTCGCAAATTGAAGAGATGGGTTTATATGGCCCTGTCCTGAAAAACTCACGAGAAGGATATGGTGATTCGCCATGTTGGTTATCGTAATTTGTGACTATGTAGTGTATGGCTTGGATTGGTTTGGGCTGGGAATGGAGTTATATAGACGATTACATGACGTTTGTGATTACACAATTTTCTTTGTATAATTCGAAGAAGACAAAGTTGCTGTAAATATCATCAGTCTTACATGATAAACACCTGTCAACTTTAGGTTGATACAACTGAGCTTAGATGGGAAGCGACTCTATGTTACAAATTCTCTCTTCAGTACATGGGACCGTCAATTTTATCCCGAGCTCGTGCAGAAAGGCGGCCATATCTTACAGATCGATGTTAACAATGAGAAAGGCGGTCTTGCAATAAACCAGAATTTTTTTGTCGATTTTGGAGCTGAACCAGACGGTCCATCCTTGGCGCATGAAATGAGATATCCCGGTGGCGATTGCACATCTGATATATGGATATAAGTACTCGATAATAGTAGTTCGGATCGATGCTGCCTCCAGCATAGGAGTCAAAAAGTACTGTTATATGTAATAAGGGCAGCACAATTCACTAGTTGAACTGATATTTAATTGAAAATAACTTGATAAAGATCAGTTTTTCTCACACTACTGCGATAATGTGACCTTCCTTTTAATTTAGATTTTCATGTTGTTACCTTAGTTACCCTACTTTCTAATGAAGCACCATTCTTTAGAAATTGCGAGTTAATCTATATATATTGAATAACTGAATTGAAAAATGAAATTCATTCTATAGCATCGCCATGAATTATCGGAAGATTATTCATGACGTAACATAGAAAAACTGAAAAGTATATAAAACTTCAGAAATTGTCTTTAGCTCTATTCATTGAGACTGTCGTCAGAGTGTCACGCTGGGGAATTCACAAGATCCATAACCTGCCCAACAAAACGATAAACATAGTATTCGAGCCATCATACATTTATAAAATCTGTGTAGGTAAAAATCTTACCATTAGTTATCTCATGTTAATCCTTTAAGTCGAAGGGCCACATACGTGGAGTTGAAATTTGTCGTCTATTTATACTTTCTAAGTTGCTATTCACCCTAAATTGGCACATCACGAAAAATTATTCATGATGTGTCAATTTGGGATGAATAGACAACAAAAGTAGATAGTAGATCTCATCTCACATACGTGTCACAATAATCTTATTCATAGTCAGCAATTGTAATAATCATCTTGCGTAGTATTTTATGTGACAAAATTTTTATAATTTAAAATAATGCCACACCACTTAAGATGCTACGCATGATAATTAATACAATCACTGAATAACACTAATCTATACAAAATTTGCATTGCCAGGGTCATAAATACATCCTAAATTAGCTATATATTTTTATAAATGGATAAGGATGCACATCATCTCAATCTAACGTTTCTAAATAGAGCAATTCTGTAGGTACATAATTGTATTTCACAGAATGCTAACAGATAAGATATAATAGGGGGTTGGGTATTTTTTTGACATTTTTTATCACATGGACCCGCACGATGTAAGATTTATGGTGCAATTCTGTAAAATAATTTTCTATACAAATAAAATAAGTGTTATGAAAAAGAAGACATGGAAAAAAATCTATGTAATTAAAAAGAATAATGCTCTATAAAACCAGTGATATTAGATAAATACACTTTAAATGTTCGATTAAATAAGTAATGTGACTTTGTATTTAAACGAATTTTTCATTTAATGACATTTAATTATCACCTAAATTGATAATTAAAAATATCAATAATGCTAGATATATTGGATTTGCTTCACAGGCAATTTACAAAATTTTGAATTTGATGAGGCGTCTTTTACTTTGACTTAAAATATTGAATAAATATAAGGGTTTGTCTACTTGTACAGCAGGATTGATACTCCTATGTACATACCCCCTTACAAGAGGGGACCCACGATTGCCCTAACAATAATGCTAGATGTATAGAATATGCTTCACAAGTAGTTTACATAATTTTGAATTTGATGATATGGCTTTTTCTTTGACATAAAAAATAAACAATAATGCTATATATACCGAATGTGTTTCACATGTAGTTTGCAGAGTTTAGAATTTAGTGAGGTGACTTTTATTTTACTTAAAAAAATCATTGCCACTCACTCTTTCTCTCTCTCCTGTGCTCACATAAAAATATTATAAATTCATTAAATTTATGATGTTTTAATCTTAATTTTAATAGTCATTACGAGATATTAAACAAAGTCGAAATATTATATCCTTAACATCATTTCAAAGTGCTCACAACCTAATTTTTTACTTTGTTAACTAAGCGTGAAAAGCTAGAGAAACTAGCCGTTAAAAATATCAACAATGCTAGATAAACCAAAAGATTGTATCAAGCGCTGTTAACAATGTAAGAAACTAGCTGTAAGTATTTTGAAATGACATTAAGAATGTTATATTTCAATTTCGCTTATCTCGTAAAGACCCTAAAAATTAAGACAAAAACATTATAAATCTAATGCATTTATAACATTATTACGTGAACATTGTGGGGGGAGAGAGAGAGTGAGTGAACAATGTTATTTTATTTTTTAAGCCAAATTACAAGCCACCTCATCAATTTCTAATTTCAGTAGGGTTTAGCCACTTTGCCAGGTCCACCTCTTTTCCCCCCACCTATCACGGGGGCCAGTTGGAACCACAGCACTGCCAAGGCCCATGTGGTCTTGATGGCGTAGCACGATTCATATTTGTAACGTACATGTGAAGTATTTATGTAGATACATTGTTGGAAAAAGAATGAGTGGCAATAATAATTCATTTTTTAAGTCAAAGTAAAAGTCACCTCACTGATGTGGTAAGTTTTTGCATATCCTCGAGATATTCTTCCGGAGGACTCACATGTGCCTGCTCATCACATGTTGGTCATAAAGTCCTCGGGCTAAGGGTGTCCTCGAGGATTTGTCCTCGGGATGAAATCCCTGAGGACTAGTACCACGCCTCCACGAGATTTGATTGGCAATGTCCTCGAGATAAGTCCTCGAAAAGGTCCTCTTTACGTCCTGGGCATGCAAATGCTCGTGTACTTTCCTTCACTTTATTTCAGACACCCTCCTGTTTATGCCCAAAAGAAGTCCTACTCATTAAGGACTCTAGTCTAACTCAAAGACCTCAACTCAAGACTCTTACATCTAGGAGGACTCTATCCCAACTATATTACCTAAATTATGAGTCTTGTAATTGTAGTACGAATAAAATACGCCTCCCAGGTGTGGCTCTTTGAGATAAGGATATCCAACTGATTTAGTCCTACCAAGAGTGCATTACTTAATCCTACTAGGAGTATATCTCTATAAATACAAATGTTTGGATCATTATTGAAGTATGTCTTTACATACAATTTTAATATACATTCTCAAATAAATTCCCTCTCTGACTTAAACATCAGAGGGGCGACGAGGATGTACCTCGTTGCCTTTGTTTCAGGTACCAGAAGGCCCTCTTCGTGCTCTTTCTTAGTCCTCATCCTCAGGAAATCGACAAGTACAATTTTGGTAGCATCATTGCCACCGTCTGTGAGAATCGCTACCAAAAATCATGGTGAACATACGTCTCTAACTTAAGCATCGGAGAGGCGACGAAGACACACCTCATTGCCTTTATTTTAGGTACTGGAAGGCCCTGTTTGTGCTCTTTCTCAGTCTCATCCTCGGGAAATCGACAAGTACAATTTTTGTTAGCATCATTGCCGTCGTTTGTGAGAATCGCTACCAAAAGCCATAGTGAACACACGTTCAGGTCTTCCTCTAGCAAGTTTATCCATTCCAGATCCTTCTCCTTCCCCTGAAGGTCATCCTATCCCTCAAGAAGAATCATCAGAGATGTTAGTGCCTCAGCCAGCCTTCATTACTGCTGGAGCTTTCGAGGAGGCCAACAAGTTACTACATTAGCTGAGTTATTGAGCCAGAGAAATTCTCACCCATCACACACACCGACGCATGAAGGTGGTTTTATGACAGATACTCGAGCTCGAGCCCCCACAACCCGATCTTGACGATGGTGGGGTTGGAACCTTGAATGTACCCCATATGGCATCGACATCTGGAAAAGTTATGATAGAGTCTAGTGAACTTGCCCAAATCATTCAAGAGGGAGTCACGACGAGCCTAATGTAGAAGGCTAAGGGGACAATAGGCTTTAGCCCTAACACCCCATTCACTCTCGAGATATTATCATTCCCCCTACCAGACATATTCAAGTATTCCCATATAAAAGAGAATGATGGAACTACCGACCCTACAACCATCTCAATATCCATACTGACGTCATGAATCTACAAGTTGCCCCAGACCAGGTGATGTGCAAAGCTTTTCCTTAAACGTTGACCAACGTAACTAGGGACTGGTTCTCAACCTTGAAGCCCAATTCCATAGACTCTTTCTCAGATCTAGCTAACAAGTTCTCTGACTTCTTTGCCAGTAGTAAGCTCATCAGAAAGACAATAGCTTTCCTCATGCAATTTTCTCAAGGGCAAAATGAAACCCTACATGATTTCATGAAGAGGTTTAATGAAGAAAGACTTCAGATCCTCGATCTCCATATCACAACATCAGTTTCCACCCTCACAAATGCTAAAAGATGTGAGGCATTCAAGATGAGTTTGTCAAAAACTCCCACAAAGTCAGTGACCGAGCTTCTGACCCCAGGAGAAAAACACATTAATAAGGAAGAGATATTGAATCAAAGGAGAGTTGGTCCGACTTATGATCGGGTCGAGCATAAAAGGCAGCGTAAGCTGAATCTACAACAAGACCTTGCCAGAGGAAAACAGAAGCAGGGCGCACCACCGACATTTACACATTTGAACACCTCTAGGTCAAACGTACTAATGGAACTCAAAGATACGAAGGAGTTCAAGTGGCCACCGAGGTTGCGGTCTCCCCCTGAGGCCAGAGACAATAACAAGTACTATGACTACCATCGTGACCATGGGCATACAACAGAGGATTGCGTAACATTGCAGTGTGAGATTGAGGCTTTGATAAAAAGAGGATTCCTAAAGGAGTATATCAGGCATGACAAGCGTCTCGGGAATGACCGCAACAATTGAAGGCTCCAGAACCCGGGAAAGGTAACCAGCCAATAGTAGGTACCATTAACATTATAATCGGGGGGATTGCCTTGGAAAGAGATTCAAATAATGGGCGCAAGTAATAGGCTCGATGACACTGTTCCACACCAATGACAACTCCTAACGACATAGAAGATATCATATTTGGATCAAAGGACTCAAAACGCATATCATTCCCTTATGATGATGCCTTGGTCATATCTGCCATCATCACCAACTTTGAAGTATGGAAGGTCTTGGGTGATAATGGGAGTGCAGCTAATGTACTGACCCATGAGGCCTTCATGAAGATGGGTATTTCTGTTAACCAACTCAAGGCAGTCAGAACACCGCTCCAGGGATTTGGGGGTTGGAATGATCATCTCGAAAGGAATCATTGATCGTCTCATAAAATTGGGCTCAGGACATAAGTAAGTGACAAAAAAACTCCCTTCCATGTAGTTCATGCTTTGATGGCCTACAACGCCATCCTCGGGAGACCACTACTCAAAAAAATCAGGGCTATTGTATCTACCTTCCATCTCGTTATGAAGTTTCCAACAAGTGATGGTATAGGAGTCATGCGTGGCGATCAGAAAGTAGTAGGTAGTGCTATATTACTTGCGTTCAGGGAATGAGCACTGATGTTATGCAACTATCGACCCCTGAGCTCAAGCTCGAGAACCAAGGAAAATTTGCTCGGAAAGAACTAGTGGAGGTCGGGGTCAAGTTTAGCAAAGATTGCTGGTCGGCTAGGATATTTTTCTTTGTTGTTACCTTTTTTAACTTGCTTAGTTTAGTTTACTTGGGCTTGCATGCTATATTCTTTTTTAGCTAGTTTAACTTTAATTGGGCTTGCACGTCCCATGCATTTTCTTATTCACTTAGATAGCTATTTTGTTAAGGCCTGCGAGCCTACTTTGTTTCTAGAAGGTAGGAAAGTTTATTTAAAGAGAGTTGGGACCACCCAACAAGTGTTTTCTTCCAGAAAGAATACACCAAAAACGACAAGTCACGAGCAGGCATCATCAAAGACCCGTCACGAGCAAGTATAAAAAGGGCTTGTCATGAGCAAGCATCATCAAAAGACCTGCCATGAGCAGGCACAAAAAAAGACCTGTCATAAGTAGGCATCAAAAAAGATCTGTCACGTGTAGGCATCATCAAAAGACTTACCACGAGCAGACACCAAAAATGACCTGTCATGAGCAGGCATAAAAAAGACCTATCATGAGCAGACACCAAAAAAGATCTACCACGAGTAGGCATTAAAAAAGACCTATCACAAGCAGGAATCATCAAAAGACCTGCTACGAGCAGGAATCATTAAAGACCTATCACGAGCAGGCATCATCAAAAGACTTGTCATGAGTAGGCACCAAAAAAGATCTGCCACGAGCAGGCATAAAAAAAGACCTATCACGAGCAGGCATCATCAAAAGACCTGTCACGAGCAAACACCAAAGAAGACCTGTCACGAGCAGGCATCACAAAAAGACCTCTAAGCCTTACCTCTCGCAAACACCTCTAAATCTTGCCCCGTGCAAGCAATACCTAAGCTTTGCCTACTCAAACACACCTAAGCCTTGCCTTGCGCAAGCACCATTTAAGTCTTACCTTGCGCAAACGCTTAAGCCTTGCCCCTTGCAAACAACTCTAAGTCTCGTAATGCATTAACTAAAAAAAAAAAATCCAACCGTAGGTCTGTCCTAAGCTTGTCGGGCTCAACTATTCTCAAATTCATTGGAATAGAGCTTGAGATATTATTTCAAATTGGCTTTGGGGCCTCTCCTCAAGCGCAAAACATTGTCAAATCCCAGCCATAAGGGCTCGAGGGCCTTCATCGAGCTCAAGACATTGTCAAATCCCAATCACAAGGGCTCGAGATATTATTTCAAATCGAGGGGGCCTATCCTCAAGCTCAATACATTGTCAGATTCAAGCCACAAGGGCTGAGGATATTATTTCAAATTGGGCTCGGGGACCTATCCTCGAGCTCAATACATTGTCAAATCCCAGCCACAAGGGCTCGAGATAACTATCTCACATTGGACTAGGGTAATGTCCTCAAGTTCAATACATTATCAAATCCCAGACACAAGGACTTGGGATAATTGTTTCCACATTGGGCTTGGGTTATGTCTTTGAGTTCAATTCAATGTCAAACCTAGCCAACGAGTATCGAATAATTATACTAGAATAGGATCGAGCTTTTGCTTAGTCTCCTATATGAACCTTTGTCTATTCATCGAGCTCATTCAAAATCTTTTAAAATAAAGCTTGAGATCGAGCTCCTTCTTTTCAACTTCTAAAATAGGTAGGGGTTAAGCCGTTACTTTCAAATATTTTAACAGAGCTCAAGGTCGAGTCCGTTCTTTTCAAATTTTAGACAGGGTATGAGTCTAAATCTTCCCTTCAAATTTTTTAATAGGGGTCTAGATTGATCTCTTTCCTTTTAAATTATTAAAATGGTTGAAACATACTATTCTAGATCTATGTGCTCCAGTGCTTATCAATTCGCCATGAGCATGCCAACTTTTAGGCGTGGGCAAGACCAAATCTTGGTGTAAGCTCGCCAATCTCTAAGCATGAGCATGCCTATACCTTGGCATGGGCCAACCTCTAGGCATGAGTACACCTATATCTTGGCATGAGCTCGCCAACCTCTAGGCATGAGCACGCCTATACCTTGGCATGGGCTAACCTCTAGGCATGAGCTCACCAACCTCTAAACATGAGCACGTCTATATCTTGGCATGAGCTCACCTGCTTCTAGGCATGATCATGCCAATTCCTTGGCATTAGCATGCCAACTTCTAGGTATGGGCTTGCTATTTCTTGGCATGAGCATGCCTATTTTTGAATACGACATGCTTATACATCTCATCCTAGAAACTTGCATATCGTGCAAGCCTCTGACATGGATGCACAGGGGTCAGTGATATGGTTAATTTTTGCATATCCTTGAGGTATTCTTCCTGAGGACTCACATGTGCCTCTCATCATATATTGGTCATAGAGTCTTCGGGCTAAGGGTGTCATCGAGCATTTGTCCTCGGGATGAAATCCCCAAGGACTAGTACCATGCCTCCATGAGATTTGATTGGCAAGGTTCTAAAATAACTCCTCGAAAAGGTCCTCTTGACGGCTCGGGCATGCAAATGCTCGAGTACTTTCCTTTACTTAGTTTCAGACATCCTTTTGCTTACGCCCAAAAGAAGTCCTACTCATTAAGGACTCTAGTTTAACTCAAACACCTCAACCCAAGACTCTTACATCTAGGAGGACTCTATCCCAACTATATTACCTAAATTATTAGTGGTCTTGTAATTGTAGTACGAATAAAATACACCTCCCAGGTTGGACTTTTTGAGATAAGGATGTCCAACTGATTTAGTCATACCGGGAGAGCACTATTTAATTCTACTAGTAGTGCACTACCTACCTCTATAAATACAAAGGTTTGGATCATTATTTAGGTACGTTTTTACATACAATTTCAGTATACGTTCTCACATAAATTCTCTTTCTGATTTGAGTATCGGAGGGATGATGACGATACACCTTATTGCCTTTGTTTCAGATATTGGAAGGCCCTATTTGTGCTCTTTTTCAGTCCTCATCTTCGGGAAACCAATAAGTACGATTTTTGGTAGCATTACTCACGAAATTCAAAATTCTGTAAGCAACCTGTGAAACATTTGGAACATTTAACCTTCGTTTGGTAGCAATTTTTCACCCCCTAAAGATCAATTTTTCGTTCGTTATTTCACTATTTCAGTCGTTACTTTTGTTTTTTTCACTCACGAGTGAGACTCACTTTTTTCTTTAACAGTAAAAAAATCAATTCTCATAATCACTACTGAAAGACACCTAGATTTATTGTAAAAATATCCACCAATTGGTACCCCAAAATTCCATGGGTTTTCAACTTTGCCAGAAAACTTTAACACATGTTTTGACATATTTTGAGATGGCAGAAGTTGATTTGATAGAAAAGTTGTCTTGTGTTTAAAGCAGTCAAATGATATATAGCCCTTGTTTGTTTATTATGTTTGGAAGCATGAGAATGAAAAATATAGTTTTTATCAATCCCAAACAAGAGATAGAAATTCAAATTTGGTGGCTTGATATGATGGATAACGATCATATTTTTCATTTTAATGTTGAAATAATGAGAACCAAACAGGATCATAATACCACATGATATTGCCCTCGTTTGGCCCCCATTCTGTGAAGATGAAAATGGTTGGAATAATGTTTTTTTTTGAAAAATGAGTGGTTGAAAAATGAAGAAATTTTTTCGATCTACGTACAATATTATTTTATGAAAGATTATGTGATTGGAAATAAGAGAGTAAAAAATGAAATGTAATAGAATGAAAATTAATGGAGGTCAAACGATACCATTATGTCAAATTTTATACGAACGAATTTGACAATGTAGCATGGTTGAAGTTCCATTTAACCTGAAAAATAAAAAACTTACAAAAGCCCCACGCGCAAGTTTCCCGCCATGACGTCATGAGTTCCCGCCAAAATCCCCCACTCTTCATGTTCCTCTCCTTCACTCTCCTGTTAACACGGTAACACACTACTGTGTCGAAACCCTAAATCCATAACTCAGCAAAAACCAAATTCTCCAACGAAAGTGAAGAAAGAAAAGTAGCTATGAAATCATCATCCGTAAATCTCTATTTCAGAAAGCGAAAGAAGCAATCTCCATCTCTACCACATCGTTCAGTCGGAATCTTCACGCGTAGCAAGTCTCAGGTGTACGTCCACCGCAATCGCTCCGGCCGGACCCGTCTCGATGTTTCTCGAAAATCGAACTTCCACTCTTGCTCAATTAGCTCAAACCCATTTCCCGGGAAACCTAAATCAGTTCAACCCGGATCCCGGAAGGAGACTGGGACTGAACCAGTAGAAGCTTATCTGCGGTTGAATGATGAGATTAGTTGTCGGATCTCATCAATTAAAGATCTCCGGACCCATAGGGTTTTCTCTTCTGCTGTTAGTCCGATTCTTGAGGAAGAGGAGGGGAAAATAAATGGGAACTCAAAGTTATTGCAGAATATGGGTCTGGATACGGATTCAGATCGGTGTATGGATCTGGATGCGAGGGATAAAGAACTGGAGGAGAATAGACAATCTGTTGAGACAATGCCATCGGATGCAGTTGCGAAGGAAAATGATAGCAAAAATGGTTTGAATTTGATGAAGGATAAAGCGACTTCAACAAACGGATCTGTTTCCACAAGTAGAAAGGTAATGAAATAGCCTTTATCTGTTTAAATTGTATAAAATCATGGAATTAGATGTAATCTCTGAAGTCTGATTAGCATCGAGCTAACATAATGCTTTTTGCTCAAATGTTTCACCACTAGCTCTGATGACAGGGTGATTAGCGGCTATGCTTTAGTATTTAATTTTGTATTTTATTATCATTTGAATTATATTGAGGATATACTTGAAAATGAGAGGATTTTATTGGATGATCAATATGCAATTTTTTGTGTGCTACCCGATTTTCCCTCAAATGTCTTAAGTTGAAAACTTTTGTTGAACTCTTATAGGTTCTGAATTCATGTGCCAAAAGGAAGGTTTTCAAGACCCCGAACTCTTTTAACTATAGAAGATTGCTACCATATTTGATGGACGTTGTGAAAGAAAAATCCAGTAAGCTTATTTACTTGTATTTTTTTTCTTATGAGAATGAGTGTTGAGATAATTAATCTGATTTGAGATAATTAATCTGATAATATGGCTTCATGCTTGGAAACTAATAGTTCTATATATAAACGGTTATTTTCCTTTTTTCCCCTGTAGGTGCTTCAGAAATTGAAATAGTCGGTGTAGAATTTCCAAATAAATTGCAGGAGTTAAGTGGTTTGAGTCCTAAAATGCCTTCATTTATGGATAATGGTTGTGCTGCTAAACTTGAGTGTGTTGGAGCAAGGACTAATCCTACAGATAGTTTCAAGGATGAAAAGATACAAAAGTTAAATAAAGAACAGCCCTCCATTCTGCAGAATTTGATTGGTGTTGAATATCAGTTGGAGCATAGAAGTTACGAGAATGGTGTTAGTGGAGTTGAAGATTCTGTGGAAGAAGAGTGCATTTCGATGAAACATGATTCTGATGTTCTCCATGCAACAGCGTCAAGAGATAGTGGGAGAAATATGGAAGTCAACACTTTGCTTACTGAGAAACCTAATATAAAGGGCACATCAGTTGGATGCTTGAGTATTGGCAATAAATCACGCCATAGTGCGAACGTGAAAAGTGGCACCAATTGGTTGTCTGAGACGGTAAACTTCTTTCAATCCATAAATGTGGTTGATATTCTTTCATTTGACCATCAATTTATCTGTCTTCTTTTTACTTAGAGGATGACTCTTGAGACAACTGTTTTTGTTTACATAAAATCTCTTGCATTCTGCCCAGTTTCTTACTCCTTGTTCACAAGTGAGGGTCTTCAAAGTTCCTAGCTCAGCTAGCTATAGAAGACTGCTTCCATATCTGATTGATGTTGCAAAACAGAACTCCTGTAAGTCCTTTTTATCATTGTGAATCAACAATTAGAGGTGAATTGCTTGCAAATCAATTTATGCAGAAATATTTCTTTATAGGTGATTCGAAAGTAATCCGACACCCAAAGCCTCAGATAGATTCGCCAGATGTACATTTATTATCATATGCTACTTCCGATGAAGGAAATCCGGTGAAGAAAATCAGAATGGAAAGTTTCTGTGAGCAACCTCATACTGAAGATGAGGAGCAAAATTTACTGCTTGCTCTAGTCCCCGGTGACAATGTTTCATCCAGTGATACTGATAATAGTCTAAGTCCATCAACTCCACCATTGTACTCCACCAATCATTCATCTAAAGTGGGGCCAAGTTCAATAATTTCTGATGACACCACTGATCTGGTCATGCCACTTGATTTACCGAAGGAAGGAAGATTGTTGATTCAAAATAGTCCCAAGAAGTCTGAATCAGATATTTTCCATAATGATATCATGGATTGCAATGGGAAATCCAATTGTTCAGTAGTTGAATCATTCTCTATAGTTGATCATGATATTCAGACAGATACGAAAAGAAATTGCATAGCTGTGAATGTGGAAGCTTATAAATCCAATGAGCTAATTGAAAAGGTTACTTCCAACCAAGGCCAATCCCAAATTGAAGTTTCTGACACTTTGATTTCTCATACGGACGTTCCTTTCAAGGGAATACTAAAGAAAAATCCAAAAGGGTGTAGAGGGCCATGTAACTGTCTAAACTGTGCTTCATTTCGTCTCCACGCTGAGAGAGCATTTGAGTTTTCAAGAAACCAGCTGCTTGATGCAGAAGAAGTTGCTTGGAACTTGATGAAGGAATTAGCAAATGTTTGTCATATATTGGAAATGTCTGCTGTCAATGAGAATGATCTGACAACTATCCAACTCAATCAGGTAAATTACACTTGAAATAGTGACAAAATTTATAATGGCTTTTCTTGCTCTTGCTGTTTGGTCGTGTTTTTTAGTTGCAACTGATTTCAGTCTGTTTTTTAACTTATAAAAGCAGAATTTTTTAAGTACTCATTGTTCAAGTGAAAATTTTTACAAGGGAACTATTGAAAGATCTTACATGTCAGTCCTAATATTGAAGTTAAACTTGTAAGCAAGCTCAATTACATGGTATTATATCAAGTTACTCAACATATTTTCTTCAATGATTATTACTTGTGCTCCTAGCCCCAATGTTTCTTATTTCATTTTAAATTTAGGTAGGATTTGTCAAGTGTTGCTGGAAGCATTTATATTAACTCTGATTATCATTTTCTTCTTTTACTCTTCAGAGTTCCTACTTGAAACACCATCTGATTCTTGTTATCGAGTTCTGTTTCCCTGTGCTTTCATCATTATCTAAATCACCTCATTTATTTACTTAGCATTTGAGACATCCACGCAGATACTAAAGTTCCAAAATTTTCATGACCATCAGCGGAGAAAAATGGATTCTGTTGGGAAGGAAATATATTTTCCGATTTCGGTCCTTTGTATTCATTTTGTGTTTGCTTATTTTACCATCTCTCATCAGTGTTTAAAGAGTTCAATAAATCAGTTTGATTTTGTTTCCATGCAGACTCAGGTTAATCAAGCATGCAATAAAGCTCTGGAAACAGAAAATCTAGCAAAAGAGAGCCTCAGAAAATTGAACTATGACCTCAATATTCATTGCAGAACCCCAGTAAGTGGCATTTTTTCTTCTATTGTATATTGAACTGCTCTTAAAATCTAATGACCAGTCTCCAATTTTATCTATTATTGTTCATAAGCGTAAAATTTCTATATGCACATCAGAGATCCTCAAATTCATTGTGTTATCTACAGGCATTGCAGCGGCCAAGAGTTACGTTTGCCAACTACATTCAGGAAAGAGTTATTCCAAAGACAGATGCGTCGACTGGTCCAGAAACACCAGATAAATGGTTAAACAAAGAGAACACGTAAACTAATTGTAGCTGTTACGTGATGTTAACCTTTGTACGTGTTGTCTAGATCACTATTAGGCTACTTGTGTAGTGGCGCCTTTGCCCAAGCACATACTGGTGACTTGAGTAACTTGCCTTCGATGTACGTTGCTGATCGTTCATACACAGTAAAAATGAGGCCTTGGTTTCATCCGCAAACTGTAAAAAATCTCGTATCTAAATTAAGATTTAACCCTGTTTTCACAGGGCAAAAAACTAGAGCCCAAAGAAAAGAGCGAGATCTTATTAATGTTTAATATTTCAATTCAATCATGCCTTTGAGTAATTGAGTTGTAACTTTATTTGTTCAACGCGATAATTCTTATCAGTGTATAACAGGGATATTATGCTTTGTCAAAATTTAAAATTTTGCGTATGGATAGTGAGGTATACAATTGTGCACAACTTCAAATGACACGGTAACTTTAGGTAAAGATTTAAGAACAATTTTAGTCATTCCTTTGAGCTTGGTGTACTCTAGAATCCCATCCTATACATATTACGATCCTTGAGCTGGCTGGAAGTATTGATTCTTGTCCAATCTCTATAATAAATTGACGTTTACGAGGAAGTGAGTAGCAAAGTTCTTGCATTTTAATTTTCGTGCTCGGAACATTGCTTTCTAGGAGAATTTTATTTCTTTATCTGCAGGGATTGTCCCAGAGATCAATAGTTGAAGAAAGCTTGCTACCAGTATTGGCTAAACTTAGGTGTGTAAATCTGTGTGAGCTAATTTTGGGTTCAGCTTGCCCCCAATCAAAGGGCAGTGCTCGGTCAAGCACAAGCCGCCTCAAAATCAGCCAGCCGAGCCTGATTTGGATGACACCTCTGGTTAAGCGACAGCTTCGGGATCATCAAGTCTAAATGAAGGTAGCAAATTCACATGATACAAAGAGTCTAATTTATTTTGCACCGGTGCATAGAACATAGTGAAAATTCAAAGAAGGAAATGAATCTTGAAATACAGAATTTTACAGACTCCAATTTAAATGCCTTCTAAAGAAACCTTGATTGCCTACACTCTGGAGGAAATCCTTGAGCAAAGCGTTTATAATCATTGCAATAATTGTATATCATGAAGTTTTTCCGAACCCATCTTAGTCTTCTTCGGCTGTAAGCATCGAGTTCCTGGCTCTGCAATGCCCCATTTGAGAACTTAGTACTGCTACTAGTGCAAGACCCACTACAAGTTTTTGCATTGAAATTTCTGTAGTATGCTGTAAAGGGAGCCTTCGACCAATCGGTTTTCACTAGCCCACCCCTGGTCGCCCAGTCGTCCGCGTTCCACAGGCTAGAGTAAATTCTCATAGGTTGCTTCTTAGGATACGGGACACCAACTGATTCAGCATTTTTGAACAACCTAATGGGAGTGTTGTCCACTAGGAAGCTGGAATAAGAAAGTTGATTAGTGACACCATTGAAACTAACAGGTGGAAAAGTCCGACATGACCGTTATCCCAAGTGGCATTCTGATGTGGCAGTTAACATAGAAGCTATATGACTTGATTGAAATGAAAAATAGTTGGGGAGGGATGGTTTTTCAATTGAATTAGTATTCTATTTTTGTTTCGATCAAGCCACTCAACGTTGAAATAGTAAAACTAACGTAACTGGAAGGAGTGACCAACGTTTAAATAGAGCATATTTAGTGATCTTGATGAAATTTCAGAATAAGTTGAGTGATTACCGATGAATTTAAAATTCCCCCACCCACGCACCCACATGCATGCATATATAGGCAATAGAAGACTAGGCTTGTGCTTACACAATATATTGTGGTTTCCAAATAATCGAGTAGGTGTGGAAATTTCTAGTTGGGTCGAACCAAAGATAAAACTGCTGCTCCCTGCCCCCCTTGCCTTGCGTAAACACATTGGTGTGTAGAATATATGGTTCACCAGAGACATTTCCGAGGAACTCAAAATCTATTTCATCGTGAGTTGGCCCTTGAGAAGATAACTGCAACAATAACCCACAAATCATAAGCCTCAATTATATATTACTTTGGTTTATATTAGTTTAACTTTCTAGACAAGATGGTTTAATAGAATATAAGACGTACGTAGTATGCAGTCACAGTGCCGGCAGAGTTGCCAGCAACAAGTTTAAGTTGGACATCAATTCTCCCAAATAGATACTCTTTCCTGGATTGAAATCCAGAACCAGAAGTCTTGTCTAAAGACAAAGAAAGAAGCTGCCCTCCATTGAAAATCTTAGCCCTGTTTCCTCCCCAAGTTAGATCAAAATCTTGATAGAAATTACCGCAATTAGCAACCATGCAAGAACTCATCGCTAGAGAAATACCCAAGAACAATACAGAAAACCCTTTAAAGAAAGCAGCCATTGTATTTGAAATTTGAACTATTATTGGTGTATTTGTGTGTCATGAATTTGAAAGAGGTGTACTATATATAGGGACCCTGAGGGGGTTGGGGTTAGGGTAGGGTGTTATTAAGAAGAGAGGGAAATACTTGTGAAAGGAAGAGCCGGGGTGGGGGTGGGGGTGCGGGTGCGGGTGCGGGTGCGGGTGCGGGAGTTGGTGCCAGCTTTGAGCAATGAGAGCTGGATGGTTTTTGTTTGTACATTCAAGTGGTTTAAGGTTTTTGTTGTTTTCTCCAGCAATGATTCAGTCTTCTCCCCCAAAATAGGGTAATATAGCCCTCTTTTGGCATCATCAATTCATACAGATCTGTGGATGACAGCCCAGACTATGTACTACTTCATACTGTAATAAATTCACCTGTTGGAGCTATCTAGAAGTAAATGTTCACGCTTATCAACTTTTTATATTCTTACTTCTTTAGCTCTACCAAATCCTCTCCAACCTAGCTTAGCGTCTAGAGACTAGATATGTTAAAATATGTGTTGAGTCGAATTATGAGTTGGCCTTAATTGACTTAAGAAACCATGAAAATGCATGAAAAAAGTTCTTTAAGGTGTGGACACTTGATCTAGAACAAGTTACTTCAAAACAAGGCCATCTCAATGCAGCCGAGTTTATACTTCTACTAGACTCAATCTTACATGATAAAAATATCTCAAAGTTTCAATCTTGTTCAACGAAATCGTTGTCAAAGGATAAATCTCACATTGATTAATATCAAAATATAGATTAACATATACGAGTTTGGATTACTTATCTTTACTAGATTAACGTTCTACAATAAAATTTTAAGTCTTAATAATAATCATCACATAGTAAATCGTTAAATTTCAAAGAGATTATACACTCTACTTTAAGTTTATCTACTAATACATAATATTCAATATCTACGATAAAATTTGGGGTTTAAAGAGATTAAGGTCACCATTTGCAACGGTAGGAATGTTTATTGTTTAATTTCACTAAGCCCCTATTTGGTAGAGACTCTTTAAAAATCTCTTTCTTTTTTTTTTCGCTCATTTTCAGCTCTATATTTTCTAAACACAGATCATAATTTTTCTTTACATTTTAATCACACGTTCTTCAAAAATATTTTTTTTTACGAAATTTATACTTACAAAATCTACGTCAAACAAACCATACAATTTGATGGTTAGAAATTTAACCAAGTAGTACAAAACTATTCAGTTTCTAATTTCAGTATTAATTATGTTCTTGAAGTACAAATTTAAACAAAAATTAATTTGACCAGTTTGAATTTCTGCTTGAGATAAAGCGATTGGCTCTTCCCTATAACCTGGACCAGGATTAAGAGTTTCATGGCAAACTTTTTCTCTGTATATAGCTGTAAACTGTGCTTTACGACAAATCATAGTCAATTTCACCTTCTTTGTGTCTTCAGATTCTGTACAAAGAGAGTGCAGAAAACATATCAGGGTAGATTGAATGGTACTGAATTCCTTCGAGTTGGTTTTTGGTTTTGAGGTGAACTGTACGGGGAATAGATTCTTCAACATATATTTTTAATGTAAAATAAAACATTGTAAGTTTCATTTTTCTTTTGAAGAACAAGTTTAAGGTCACACGACCTACTTCTCTAGAGAGCCGTTGAGTTTTTTAATACACGTGCTCATTTGTGCATGTCCACGAGATATAAGTCTCTAGAACTACACTCAACATTGCTAAATATGGATAGAGTTGAGCTAGACATCTCAAGACGAGACAAGTCAATACATTTTTAACACTTCTAGGCAACACATTTTTTTCCATCTTGAAGATGAGCATATTATTTTGTATGATGAACTATAATTTATCATGGTTTATTCATAAGATAACTGAACATTAATACAAAAAGAAAAAGAAAATATATTATATTGTTGTATATTATTGAGTTCTGTGAACACATTGAGAGGCTATTGAGTAGTGTGTACGAATCATGCTCTCAAAAAGTGGCATTTATGAATATTAAATTCAAAACTAGATGTCCTCTTTAATGTCTGTTATCCCAAATTTGTTCTCTTTTTGACTGTCCCGTTAGTATATTTTGAAATGTCAGCACATCTTCTCTTCATAGCAATTGGAAAGATGTCAATACAATTTTGACACATCAGCACATTACGTCTTAACGTATTTTCATTTGCTATAAAGGCGATGTGTCAAACTGTCAAAAATGTATTTATAGGCTAGTCAAGGGGACAATAAAAAATTTGGCCTCCACTTTATGAGCCATGCTCTCATATAGTAAAGTTGTGTTTTAAGAAGGAAGAATTAGGCTTGGTCTCTCTCAACCTTTCACATAGTGTTGTAAGGGATTTCCAACCTTCAAAATGAGAATCTTGATATTCGTTCTATATAAATCTATGAATACGAGATTTGCACGATCAAAATCGTTAACGTGGATGATAAAATTGAATATGATTTTCATGCGATTTAAAGTTGGAGTGCAAAAATGTCAAATAGCTAAACATCTATGTCTGATTCAGCTAAAAGTCGCACGTGATTTTAGCTTTCATATTAAAAAATTCGGTCAGATGTGAACACAAATACACACGTTTAAGTAGGTTGAAGACTCGCAACCTCATTTTTTTGAAGGTTGTGGTTCTGTAACCACAATACACGAAGGGTTTGAGGTAATGAGTCCTAAATTTCCCTTTTAAATATGTCAAATTCGAAACTAGGTGTCTTTTCATATATATATATATATATATATATATGTAGATCCGATGAACTTTTCAATCATCCTAAAATATTTGAGGTTTAGTTGTGGAAGCCAATGCTCTGCCCATTTCTCTATCTTTTTTGAGGTAGAAAATGTAGGGCTAACTTGGTAAAAATATTGGAATTATTATGTGAATTAATTTTTATTGATGCATATTTTTGCACATGAAGAAATTAGGTAGAGTCATGTGTACTCTTAAAATAATATAATGGCACCATAAAAATTGTTGGGAAATTCATCTATGTATGAAACTAATCAAAGTAATATCGTATCTACTTTTTAACGCAAGCAACTAAATATAACTCTCTTTCATTTCATTTGAACTTAATTTCATCGAACACAATTAAATAAGTAACGAGAGCTTATGTTTTGTCGTAGTCTATGAAATAGTTTTTACGCAATTCAACTGCATAGCGTAACTTACGGGTTTTACATAAGTGATATGATAATACGATTTTAAATGCACCTCTTATACGTTATTTGATCATGAAATTATTTAGGTTTTATCAGTGTCTTAATAATCAATGCGATTGGTTCAACCAGGAAGATCAAGAAAGCGTTAGGTAATGTGTAAAAATTAGAAATTAAAAATTGGCAAGTTACTTGAGAACTGACGAGTTTTCTCTCAAATCTATTTTTCTTTTTTCTTTTTATCCGATTCGACCATTTGAACTTTTATCTTTTTCGTGCTTGGTTTGATTTTTAAAACGTTGATTCTTTCCGACAAATTCAAAAGAATAATTTAAATAAAAAGACAAATTTACTTTGACAGCTATGAAATTTCTTGTTTTCTAGTTTCAATTTCAAGAAATTGATCCTTCATGTAAAGCTATGAAACTATGGTGACCGCCCGGAAAGCAACTTATAGAGGCATCAATAGTAGGAAAGTGGGCCATAATGGAAATTTTGGTGGGTTGGATTGGCCCATCTCCATTGCCATCACTTGATTGGGGCCCACTTTGTTAGATGTTATGATTTGAATAATTAGTAATTATTAAAGGATCCAAAATAGCAATATGGTGCATAGTTTGTGCTATATAAAATATGATTATGTTATACTTTAATTATTGGTGGCTATTAGACTCATCAAGATATACATAATACAAAATTCTATACATTTTAGGTGGTTCATTTTTTATTATTTATTTAGATAAAAAGTGGTTATTCCGTGTAACATTATAGTAGGTAAGGGAAAAAAAATTAAGTAAATGAAGTGATATTGTAATTATTTTTCCAACTTATTAAATTAGAACATGTCTCAAGCATTTAATTATTGACATTTTAATTCATAACTATACCAGGTTCGATGATCATATTCAGACTTTCAAGTTGATTATACCTTTAAACTTTTGAAGTAACATTATTGAGCTCTACTTGTATTTAATACCAGTCTATGTGACATTAAATTACAAACTCATTTAAATTATTATACGGTAGACAGTTTGCTTTTGCCAGATGCCTTTTTATCTTAGGTCTTCTTCTTTTTTTTTTGATTGTTGTGGACAGGGTGGTGTTAGGTCCCCACTTATACCTATTATCCTTGTTGATGAATTGTTCAATGAATCTTTTTTATCGAAAATCTCATATCCTCTAACAGAAGCCTTGTCCACAGTGGCGGATTTAGTATGCCGCTAGCTAGGGTGGCCACCTTAGTTGGATTCGCCAATGAGAATTTTTTTTTTAATATAAATAATAGACAAATTTTATGTTATATAACTAGTGATTCATTTTATTTTCAAACATCTCTTCAGTTTAGTTGGTTAGAGCTTCCTTATATTTATTGTGAGTTTTTGGTTCGATTCCTTCTCCTCCATTTCATTGTGCAAAATTTTTATTTCTACAATATTTATCAAAATTAATTTTCTAAGGAAATGATTCAAACCTATAATTTCTAAAATTATGATAATTGGAAGCTTAACAATCATGGCAATGATTGAATTTTGAATCTAAATTTAACAAAATAATATATGTTAAGACTTTAGGAGAGTTTTTTTTTTTTTTTTTTGTCGTTTTAAATATTTTACGTTTCAATAATTTATAAGATATGATTTATAAGTATTGAATTTTAATTTATATGTTATTTGAGAATTTGTTTACTGTGAATTGTGATATTAAAAATTAATTTAGGTATTGTGAAATGTGAATATGTGATTCATAAAAATTGAAAATGAGAAATTGGGGAATTTATAATTCGTGATGAATTGGTGTTGAGAATTGGAAATTGAAACTTTAATTATATTTAAAATTAATTCTAATTACGTTTAATCTTTAATTAATGTTCAATTCTCATACTAATTATAGAATGATTTTTTCAACTGAATTTCAATCTAGTTCTTATAGTGGTGTATCTAAACTCTCAACTACTTTTAATCAAGCAAACGATTTGTTAAGCATTGATAACACAAAGAAGTCTTATGTATCATGTAATTTATATTATTTCAGATTGTGTTGAAATATAATATAATATAAATATACGATTTTTACGTTTTAATATATTTACATACAAATCGAAGAATTTTTAATATTATTTAATTTAATATTAATAAACGATATCGCTATACAGCCGTTGACTATCGACAATTAATGGTCAACGATCAACGATCGCCCTAACCGAGTCACAGTCCTAAATTCACCACTGCTTGTCCATGGAGTTGGCTCTTCCATAAAAGAGCAAGGTAAACAGTGCAGGGCGAGTGAATTGCCTATATAGTCACTAAACTTGACACCAGGTTTCCAGGAGGTCACTCAACTTCAAAAACCACCCCACTCATCACCTAACTTTCTAAAAATTACCTCATTCATCACTAAACTTTCCAACCATTAAAATTTGGATGAAATGCTGATGTGTCCGATGACATGGCATGCCAAATGGATTAATTGTTACACAGTAGGCATTCAATATAAGGAAAAAAGAAAAAAAAAATTAAAAAGAAACCGAAACAAAAATTGGAGCCGGCGTCGACGACCCTTTTTGAAGCCAAGGCCAAAATTGTTTCTTTTGATTGATGAAATGCAACAATTGAGTCTTGAACCACCTCCATTTTTTCATGAATCTCATTCTGGTTGGTACAATTTGTGGGTTGAAGCTGTGGAGAAGCATCAATTGTGAAGGAGATCGCCAGTTTCTACGAACTGCCGAAGCTGCTTCTTCCATATGGGGGCGAAATTGGAGATGACCCATGGGTGCATTAGGTGTGCCTTGATGAGGCGGTACCAGTGGAGGTGATCCGCGATCGTGAATCATCCCGTCGACGCCGGAAATTTAGTGTAAACGGTTCGAGTTCGCTGTTGAAGAAATTGGTCGGGGATTTTGATTATTTGTATTATTTGATGGTATGAAGTCATCTGTAGGTGCGTATTGAGGAGCTTGATCGATCTGGAGGCTGTGTAGGGCATGGGTGTGGCCGGAAGTGAAGATTCCGGCCATTTTTTGACTGTTTGGGCAGCCCATTTTGGTTTCGATTTCGAGTGAAATCGATTGGTGTTATGGCCGGAACTTGGGTGGGTTACGAAGAGGGAAGCGAGGGCTTCATGTTGGTACGTTGGTCCGGTGGCCAAGGTGGCCGGAGGGTGGAGTATTGGTGGTCCAAAATGGTGGCCAGAGGTTGGAGTTTTGATATTTCTGTTTTTCGGTTTTTCGATTTTTATTTTTTTTTAATGTGTTCAAGAATGCCAACTGTGTAATAATTAATCCATTTGGCACGCCACATCATCAAACACATCAGCATTTCATCCAAATCTTAATGGTTGAAAAGTTTAGTGATGAATGAGATGATTTTTGGAAAGTTCGGTGATGAGTGGGGTGATTTTTGAAGTTTAGTGACTTCCTGGGAACCGGGTGTCAAAGTTAGTGACTATATGGGCAATTCACTCGTGCAGGCAGATGCAGGCTTTTTCTTTCAATAATCAATCAAATGTCTACAGGATCATCGATCTTCTCATATCTGTGTGGATCAATTAAATTTTCAACACTTCGTTTTCCTTTCTTGGATTTAGAATTTGTTGCACAACATTGTCATGTTTCTTTGATAATTCTTTGTACCGAAAAAGAAAGTACCTAAGCTCAGAAAGTACTGATGCAGTTATGAGCATAGTTATGAAACCTAAACCGCTAGGACAAAGCAGTGGATCATCGGATCATTAGTTCAAGTAACAATACTAGTTATAGGCGGACCTACATTAAAAAAATAAAAAAAAAAACACTCTGAACTTGCGAATTTGGATCCTAAAATTGAGATAAATATTAGTAATGAATAAGTAAATAATAATTGCAACTCCATTAAAATATGTGGTTAAAAATTGTTTTTCCTTTATCTAGCACTTTGCCTTCAATTACCGCTCCATGGGGTTTGAAATTGGACGTCGCCCGAGAACTATTCCCTAGAGAGAGGATTTCGATTAGAACCTTACAATTTCAAGAATTTTGATTGGTGTCCGAGAGCTATGCCTGCCCTTTTTTAGCTCCACTCTTTCACCATTAGCTCCCAAAGTTTGCCAAGCTAAAATTCTAATGGTTAGTCATTGTGACCCTGACCCGAGGCATGATGTACATTGCATGAACCCGCTCAAAGTGACGAGATCCTGCATGACTGAATTTGGCAAGAACAGTTTAACCATTTATATGTAATACATAAATTTTGCCAAAAGGAAGCTTAACCTCACCAAATGTAAGGTTCTGTCATGTGTATACTTAAAATGGGTGGAATAACAATCTGCTGCATTCATTGCTTCACAAGAAATCGTAAATAATTCCTCTATTACACAACATATTTGAGTTCGACCGATAAAAAGGACACAATATACTGGAAAACTTCTGTAATATGTCGCATTTGTCAACTGCTTATTGCGTTCCACTCAATAGATTGCTTGCGTGATACTTTTACGTTGATCTACAAACTGCATTCTCTAATCCAGTGATAACTACACTGCTTGAACCATACAATAGAGAAGGGATAAAACAGGAATCTTATACTTCAAAACCAGTTGCTTCTTATTGCTTAGATGTGTCAGTTGAGACATCAAAACCAGGAGGGACGAAAACAACATCATCCCAAGTCGATGACGAATTATCCTGCAAGGTGTTTTTTGTGTCATTTTGTTATGAAAATGAAGATATTGCATAACTTATAGCTAAATGTCCAGTAGTAATAAGACTGTATCTTCTTACCTTCATCCCTCGTATTATGTCCTCAAGGACAGCAACCTATGAAAATTTATCCGGGAGAAAACAATGAGTAAATCTAAGATAAATAGCCCACGAAGAGACATGGGGAGGTCAGAAACTCTACCTGAATATCCCCTTCCCTTAAAGAAGGATTCAGCCTGTGCTGTTGACGTGAAGCTCTTAAAAGGGATTTTTCTAGGTCCTCCTGTGCAATCAACAAAACATGAGAAAAAAGCATATGCAACTGAATTGCTAAAAATAACAGATTAAAGGTTCTATCATCTTCTTTCTTAACCTTTCTGAAAAATACTGGACGGTATCTCTTGTTTTGGCTCCTCAGAATCAAGCTCTTAGACTGCAAAATGTTGTTTTGAATTTATGAGAAATGAGTAGAATATTTCAAGCCATGGAGTTTGCTGATCTAATCCAAATTAAAATAAGACAGATACAACTTGGTTTTTCCTTCTCAGTTGTCAAGTTACACCAAGTATGTAGAGAGAACATAATCCAAGTCGCTAAAAACTGTTCAATCTAAGTGGAACTGTAAGATAGTTCTCAGCTCAAAAACAAGACTATTAAAGCAATTACACGTAACATATGACTTAATTAGCAGCTCTTCTCCCTCAAAATCAAGCCAAAGATATATGGGGGTTGGGCAATAATATAGACAGATCAAACAGACTTCGTCCCATTGTACCAAGAAGAAAGACAATCCTCTGGAATACATATGTTAGGATGGAAATCCAGGATAAATCTAGAAAAGAATTAATGCCCCCAGTCATTACAAAATATGGGTATACGGAAGTTCAATTGCAATGGTTACTTAACTCAAAAACTACAAGAGAATAAAACTAATTTCTATATTTGAAGGTGTAGCAATATAATTTCACCTAGCAAACTGGAAAAGGAGAAAGAAATTTTCACATATATAGAGAAGGAAGAGTGGCTCCTCTCCAATCGCGACCTGATTCCATGCTATGTAGTTGCTTGTACCAAAATAGAAAAACCAGATCCAACAGTCTGGAGAGATCTACCTCTATGAATGTCCAAGCAAGCCTAATAATCAATAACCGCTATTTAGTAAAAAGTTAACACTGTCAATAAATTTCTCTCCCCACTTCCTTTCCCTACCGCTCATCTCCACCTGATTCTTAGAAATCTGTTCCCTTCACAAATGGCATATGCAGGGATCCCTTTGTTCTGTTTTAAATTCCCCCCATAATCACACTGGATTTGAATCAATTTGATTCATAACACCAACTAGTTCTTATAAATGAAGTGATTTAGTTAGTGAAATTGATTGAAAGGGGTGAAGCGTTTAAGAGTTTGATTCAAACAAAGGTTTAGTTCAAAGAAATGAGGGGCTATAATTTTTTCTCAGGGGCATACCGGCATACCAAGAACGAGCAGAGTGGAAAATAGCATCTAGCCTATGAGTTAAAAGGCGGCAAACTCTAATCCTTAGATGACCATTTACTAATGATGTCTAATATCCACACCATAGACTGGAGGTCTCAAGGATTACACAAGAAATTAAATGCACTGGACTTGAAAACAATTAGCGTGTTTCTGGAATCTGGACAAAGAACCTCCCTTTCATCATCACTTTATGAGTTTTCAAACAATCTTCTTTCTCCTCTTTCAGCAACTCTGGTTTATCTACTGGAAAAATGAACGCTTGCTGACTGATCAAGCCGCCTGTGTGGCCATGTAATCAATCTACGCTCCACAGTATTTATTTCTTGATGATAGAATCCCTTCACGGTTTAAATAACTAAAAATATTCTTGACAGCCATTTTCTGAATAAGTAAGAATTAAGTTTCTAATTTGTATACTAACCATTGGTTTTTATTGGGAAAATATATAAGAACTGAGTTTTAATTCGTATACTAACCAACGGTTTTTATGGGGAAAATATATATACTTTCATCATTTTTAATGTTTTTTTTCTTTTTTTTTCCCCACCTAAATTTAAATGTTTCTTTAATTAATTCCAGGAATGAATATCAGGTTCAAAGCATATAGTCGAAGATAACGTAAGGCAAGTATCATGGAAGTGATTAGACAAAGCAACCTGGAAAACTGGAACCCCAGAAAAGCTCTCATCAAGAACACCAGCTTTCTTCCTCTCCTGTAAAACAGAGGCATGGCAAAGAACATTTTTAAGCCTACAATATTCTTGATGGATACAAATTACACAGGTGGATTTCTTTAGAGTTCTCTCAACCAGGAAACAAAAGCTATAGAGTATTTTTATTTAAATTGACACCAAGAGACTTGCTTGCTTATATATATATTTTTTAAATTCTAGCTGAAAAGCCCAACAACTCGATATATAAATTTTGAATTCCAATTGAAACTAGAAAATATCAACAACCTCACAGAGCAAGCTTCTAAAAAAAATGAGTTATGATGCTCTTCATTTCACAAAAAGGGAACCCAATCAAGAATTACAGAGAGAACAATGCCATAAAATGCTAAGCAAGGTGCTTGCATAGAAACAGTTTCAAGGGTAATTTTGCATCACGCAAATATAATTTTGTCACAAAGAACTGCTGAAATGTTATTATATTTCAACTTAATGTCGAAAACAAATTTTTAAGGTAAATGGCAGAAGTTTCTCACACAAGTTGAGAATAAGACATGATGGTGATGATAAAGATTCAAGATATGAGACAAGTGTATAGGTCAATAAAGCAATTCCAAACAAATCTAACAAATATGTTGATGCAACCAATTGTATCAATGCACCATGGGAAGACAGGCTTAGGATATATTTAAGAAGCATACATTCCCAAGCATCTTTCACTTATACATTCAAATGGTAAGTTGCGATATTAAAAACATCACTATTTAGATAACTAGGAATTTCAACCAAATAATTGATATAAATATTGGTTCCAGAAGTATATGCCATAGTCATACAAAAGCGATATACTACTTCACAACATAATTTTAGCAGTAACCTTATTTACATCTTTATCTTTTGATACCTAACCTGCTTAGGTATTAATATCTGCTTCCCATAGCTGGCCAGTTAATAAGACTAAGACACTCCTAAAGCCTTAGTTTTGTCTACCACAATTCTTGAGATGTATCACCAAAATTTTAATTTCAAATCCATATTTGCTGATGCAGATATCTAAATGCACATTATCTATAGGAACCAATTACAAAGACTGACATCAAATCTGCAGTACATCAATATTTTCCTCTTTTACCCTCCCTTCACAAAATTTCATTTGCAATATAGTAAAACAAAAACAAAAACCCATTGGATTTCTATTGCATCAAACTGAAATTTGAGAATATTACAGATTAGTGACCAATGAGTTTTCTTCAATTCCAGCTGTTCACATGTAAAGAATAAATTAATTGCTCAATAAAGAGAAGTAAAAAAGAAATATAAAAGAAAAAATAGAGAAGGCCACCGAAGATAAGATGAGTAAAACATCTCTCTCTCACCATTACTGCATTTTGTATCTGAGAAGCCTCCGGAATCAAGCGTAAAGCCACTCCATCGACTTTGAGCTGAAAAATCTGCAACCATAGCTTCCCGTTACAATCAGCCAAAAGAAATCCATGCATAGAATTAAAAATTCTGTCTCAACCTTTTCTCATATTATAAAAAATACCGTACCACTATCCTATCATGAAATTAGAAATCTCAATATCTTTTAATATCAACTTAACACATACTCAAACACCAAACAACTAACAGGCAAAGTTTCTCCCAATAAATAATGCAAAATGAAACCATCAAATCATTTTATTTCAGAACTTCGTCCAAGACTTTGTTGTGGCAATAGCACCAACATTCAAATACTGCACAGATAAGTTTTAAAACCTTAAGCACAAGGTAAAACTTCAGTATATTATACATTACGCACTCCCCATTGAAAAACTGAAATTCAGCAACAAATTGGAGTCCTCAAACCAGCATACAGGTACAATAAATCAATATATACCTTGCTAAGGGCGACAGCAACCACTTGCGAGCCAGTGCGCATGGAGGAATCCATGGACTTCATCTGGTTAAGAAGAGTTTCAGCATCAGATTCACTGAAGCAAAACAGTCCAAGATTTTTCCCCGTATTTACACCCGAGACTAACACGAATTCCTGCGAACCGTTGCTCAGTGCATATACTGGCACTCCAGCCAGCCTCTCCTCGATGGCATCTGCAGTCATAGCATAATTTTTACTGCTTGTGGTACCGCTTGAATTCTTATTACTATTAGGAAAAAAGAAGCCTGTGCTGTTTACACCATTACTGTGATTCGAAATTCTGGCCCAAGGAGGGGATTTAATAGGAGGGGGAGTGGGAAGGTTTTCGAGGAAATTGGAGATATGGGTTTGAAGGGAAGAGAAGGCTTGGTGAAGGATGTGGTGCGGCGGTGGCGGATGAGGAGCTGCAGCTTGTTTGGGTTTGAAGAAATTCATGGTTTCACTTCAGTTGGGCAGGGAAAATGCGGCAAAGGGCTTATGGGTTTTGGGTTTGGCTGAGAGCTTTCCTTTTTTGCCTTCCTTTTCCCAAAGAAATGGTAAGAGTACTACTTGATCTTTTACGCATTATTGAATACTCACTCGTCTTTTTATATAGTTATTCATCCACCACTTATCTCTTCAAATAATTGGACGATTTTTACGGCAACTTTTCGACAACTTCCGACCACCAAGACCGTCGAATTTTGATATCATTGAAAAGCCCACGATGTCCTTCAATTATCATCCAAAATCTCCCCATAACTTCAAGAGATTCGATCGGAAAATTGCCACAAAAGTCGCCCAAAAAATCTGAAAATTTGGCCAGATTTTCAGATTTTTTGGACGATTTTTACGACAATTTTACGACAACTTTTGTGGTAATAGAAATAACCACAAAAGTGAGTTTAGTAATAACCAAGGGCAAAATGAAAGAAATCTAAATCGTAAACTTCAAGTTGTTATTGAACAATACAAATATCGTTCTACTAGCCAAAACAACACGATACTGAACCCTAGGTGGCAAACTACAATAGTCAAACGCTTTGACTTATAGTACATGAAATTCCGCATGAATCAGCAAGAACCACGTCTTAAGATAAGGCTCAACCAAACTTCTATAATACGACGTGATCATAAGTGAGCTAAGAGTTTGTTTGACATATCTTTTGCTTTTGCTTATTGCAGAAAAACTTTTAGAAAAACTCTCTTACTTTTTATTTGAAAACTAATTTTTAAAAGAGTTTTCTATTTAGGTTTATGCTGCTTGTACATGTAGCACATCTCTTCCATTTAAAAGTGCTTTTAGAGAAGCCACATTGAACCAATTTCTTTTGAAAGCCCTTCTAAGTTCCAACTACAAAAGACATTTTCATAAATTAACCAAACGAATTCAAAAGTAACATTTGGATTTCAAATGCTCCTTTTAATTTTTCAAAGGTCATGTGGCATGAGGTTCCACCTCCAAGTCTCTCAGAGACCCTTCTTTCATCTATCCTTTAATCCTATCTAAGCTTGTGTGTCAAACCATAACTACCAAAGCATCATTTTGGCATTTAGAAATAACCTTCTTTTTTTTTTGGTTTTACAGCAGTCTTATAAATTTAAATTAGTAGTTTAGTATAAAGTGACCATTAGTAATATATCCAACACAAATAGAAGTTTAATTCAAACACAAATCAAGTGTTTATATGATGGTAATTTTAAGTTATAAGTTGTGAATTCTATATTATGTGTGTATGACAAGTAAATTTTTAGTCTTGTCAAATTTATTTCTTGAATAAAAAGTACTTTTGGCGAGCCTTAATTCTAGCTCTGCCAAACATGCTCGTCTCTCAAATTATTTAAGCAAAGAAAGTGAAATCCTAGAAAAAAATACATTCTTAAATCTTAAAAATTGAATACATACAGTAAACTATGTAATCTCCTCTTGGTACAGATTAAAATTAAAGTAACAAAAGACTATATCTTCCTAACCTATCTATCCAACAAAAATGTCTTTAATTTACAACTTGACCCTTTTAGCAGTGCCACTCTAAACAATAATTGTCCAACTCCTTTTTCCGTTCAAAAAGGGAACATCTCGAAGGAACTGTTCTCCTTGTTTCCGATAGTGATGACTCTGGACTTCTCATTCACACAATTGATGTGAAGAAGGCAAAACAGACAGAACGGGAAGAGAAGGTAACGGGAGATAAAGAAACCCTGAATTAGGATTTCCGCAAAATCGAGAAATTGACCACAGGAATCCCAACTCTTTCACCTTCTTAAGAAGCTTGGACAGCCAGCTGCTGAAGATGATCAATGAACACTTGTAGACTCACATCATCGGTGAATATCACATCCGAGCCAGCAGCCATTTCATGTACATTGCTGTATGACGCAGATGGATTCAACTTCGCCAACAGGAATCTCGCCTGTTCAAAACAGGTCCAAGTATTAAAATAAAGACGTGATGTAGCCAATTTTGATGTAGCTGTATATATGTTTTTGAAGAATATTATAATCAGGTGATGCAATATCATTATAAGGAAAACCAGTTCCTATCTTAAGGCATTCAGGTTTCATTCTCAAACACAAGTTATTTTAGCCCCACCTTTCAGGCGCAGAGGGGGTTGGAGGAACACGCACAAAACAATATTTGTCATTTTAAAGAATCGAAACAGGTAAATGCAAAACATTAAGCAAAGATGAAAATTCAACAGTTAGCTCACTCCTATATATATTTACCCACAGAAACAAAAAAAATATGCACCAAACTAAGATGAAGACAGAAAGGTGACCTGGGAGCCATGCTGATCACAGACCACCAGTCTTGGGACTGGAAACCGGTCACGAATAATCAATTCGGCATCATCATGTGGAGCTTGTAACAAATGCGCAAAAGCCTATGAAGACATGGGAAAAATAGGTTTATTCAAAGGAAGACTTGTCGTTCACGAGAAAAATAAGTATTACCATGTCCATTGCAAAATAGAAACTGAAATACCGAAATTCCAAGAAATTTTTTTACAATTTGTTATGTCATGAGAAGCACAATCAGCTTCCTAAAAAAAAAAAAAAAGTCACCAAGTTTTCGAGAATGAATTTGATGGTTTGGTAGAAACTAAAGATTTAAAGAAAATATATTTAATACTGCTGATGCAGCAAACTCATAAAAGACTTCCTCCTCTTAAAATATCTGAATTTACAAATACATGTAATACATTGAAATGTTAACTCAAAATATCGCACAAGTATAACAAGGTGCACCTGATGTTCTGGCTGATTCTGATAACCCATGTTTCTCCATTGAGCAATTGTTGTACCATGGAAAATAACTACACTGAAATATGAATCAAGCAATAGGATACGGTCAGCTCCAATGGATGACACGTCCAATAAAGCTGGTACAGGTAGTGAATTGAATGAATATGATATTAACGATGGTTGAATCATGACCGCAGCATTGCTTATAATCTCTCTATTTAATAAAATGCGGAAATAGGCCGTCTCATCGGGACTATTATTGAACACCTGTGAGAGAATGTAAAGTTTGAATGTCATATGCATAAAACTAAAAGAAAATACAAATTCAAGCAAATATTACCTGTACAAATTGTGATCTCCGCAGATTAAACATAAACTGAGGGAACAGCGAAAAACAGGGATTTAACGTAAATGAGGATGGATCATCCTTTCGGTAGTCACCAAATTTGGAACATAGACGAATCAGATTCCGGTCTAACCACCTTGTGGCGTCAAATCCTTCCTGACAATATAGAATCAACCATCAGAGTATTGCCTACTAGAGGAATGAAATCCGGAGAATTATGTATTGGTTATGTACTTACCTTAGGTGATACAAGTTATACATTCTTTCAATCATATCCTACCAATCAAGTTCAATGTAGCAAGTAGGCGTGCCAAGTAATCCGGATGACACCCACTAAAACTTTAGCTATTTTCTCAATCATCGCAGGCTAACATTGTGTACTATAATCTTGACATTTTTCCTATATCACTTAATTTCATTATGTATACCACGAGTGATCCATTTGGGGGATGGTCCTATACCTAATATTCATTCTGGTAGGCTGCACTTTGTAGTTGATGCCTAACTTTTCCCTTCCACGATAAAAAAGTACCCTCAAGAGAAAGCACCAAAATGTGAGTGCAAGCCATATGTATCAGAAGTAAGCCAACTATCTATCCATCCTAAATACAAGTCCCTAAATACATCAGCCAACAACATCTAAGAGTTGGGATATACTCCATATAAACAAACAGATTTTTTAGGAGACGAATGAAATGAAAAAAGAATTAATTGATTTCAGTTTAGATCTTGTTATCTCTTCCCTTTTTAAATGCTTTCATGCATTTCTCACTAAAGTCAGCACAAACTCACTTCTACTCTCTGTACAAGGTTCAGACCAGAAATTTTTTTTCATCACCTATGACCTAGCCACC